GTAATTAAATTGTCATTAGACCTCCGATCCTTTGATCCAGCGGAATTCGGCATTTCCTTTTCAGAACAGGAAACAATTAATTATTTTGTACAGCCGTCCACAGGCTACCGCGAGCTCGAAGACGATTTGTAATCGTAGGTCATGCCGATGCTACACATGAACCCTAAAGAGAAGACGGCATAACTTTCACTCACGACAGTGTCGCGGGCCTCATGCCCCGGGGCACATTGCTGCGAACACACCGACGATCTCGTCGGTACAGATTCGCGCGCGCGCACACAGACACACACACATACATACATTCGATGCCGGAATGTTGCATAAACGCACGCGCGTGAAGCCGCGGCTCTTACGTGCGTGATACGCGAACTCCCCCCCGCGCTCGTGAAACGTGGAAGTGCCGACCGATTATACAAGCGATTCCCACATGTGCCGAGCTATCTCTCCGAAAAGTTCAAGTCGAACGAGATCGAAATGACGGATTCTCACCGGCTTTTTGAAAACTGACTGAATCGAAAGGAAAGGAAAGTGGAGAGAAAAGGAGAGAAGGGCGGGAGTTAACGTAGAAAAAAAACGTGGGAATATAAAATTTGTAGGAAAATGAAAGGATTCAAATTAAAAATTTTGATGTCGTGGAATTCGCGACATAAGTGCAATATTTTTTTTTTTTTTGTACAGCTGCGAGCTTATAGTTAGGTAAGGAAAAGGAGGAAGGAGGAAAGAGGAAGAAGAGATTCTCCTCCGGCGTAATTGCAAGGAAATGCAGAGCTATACGCGCGTACTCATTAACGCGGAAAATGGCGCAAGCGTGCCCTTTTTAATTATTCACGTCTCACGTAAAATCCCATGCCGCGCCGCGCATCTGCGTGCACGTATGCACTGCAGGTGCATGCGCGCGCGCGCATGATGCATCTCTCAGGTAAAATCGTATCGCTCTTCCCCGGGCACGTACGTTCGCATGAATGCGAACGAGTCTTGCGAAAATCCGTCTTGCACAATTGCTCCCGATCGGACTGTTTCATCTGTTTAAGAGAATCGCCTCGTCTTCGATTTCCCTTCGCGGCCGAGGCTGACGCAGCTCGCGTCGTTCCGCTCAGGCATGGAAGATCGATTCTGTTTGCCTCTAAACGATTAAGCTTAAAGACCACAATAATCACGTGGGTAACATTAAATCGCGTAGCGCTTATTACTGTGATCGGATCTTGTAACGTAAATCGAAAGGGGATTTCTCGAGTCTCCTAAAAGTTACTTCGATCTTGAAGCGTATTATATACATATATATATTTTTTCTAAATAATTGGAGAATTATTGTATATAAATATATAAAACATATAAAATAATTTAGTAGTAGCATTAATGCTTCCGCAAGCTGAACAAAACGCCCATATATTCCCGAAAGCCGCGCGAAAGAACGGATTTTTCCGCTTTCGTAAAAGCCATTATAACGTCATTCGTGGGAATCAGTCCAGTCTGTGAACGTTACTAAACCCTATGGTCGATTTCTTCACTTCGCGATAATTTCGTTCGCTTAGACTGAGAGAAGGTGACTTAGCTCGTTCCATTATTTGATACGAGCCGATTTCCCTACTGTTATATATTGCAACATTCTGTTTGTAAAGAAAAAGTGATCTCGTCGACGATTTTCGCAGCGCGCTCGGCTTGTTCGCGCAAGGGGTTTGCTGAGTTCAAAAATTGTTAAGTATACAGAAGTACCACATATCGCGCGATGCAATATTGCACTTCTTATCGTCGTTGAAAAATCGACGCAGTAGGAGTAGATGAAACGTTAAACACACATATCCGTGTTTTTATTTCGTACAATTTAATAGTCATCATTGTAACGGGACAACGATGTGCATAAAGGCTTCTTTCAGGATGTCATAATCACTAGATTCGTGTTACGAATGTGTCGTTGCTGTCGTTGAATCTAGCACAAGGATATCTTGGCCAGTGAAACGAATCCTTGTCGTTTTATTTTTAAGTTATATTTTTTACTGTACTTTCACGATATATAATCTAATCGTAATAATAAACACATACACATTTTGTCTCCTTCGATATGAGAATTATATTTAAAGCTAAAAACTTTCGCAAAACATTTGCAATAATTGTAATACAGGTATTAATTAATAATTAATTGATCAAATTAGTTTTTTTTAATTAGCGTTAATCATTTGATTTCGTGAGGCTTTGCAGTTCTCAGCAATAAATAACTTTGCCGCACTCACACTTTTTCGCTTGTTATACGATTAGAAGTTTCCGTTATGCATTAAATCTTTCCCGCTAGATTACTATTGTACATGACACATTGTAGGCGTTTACACGCGCGTTTTCCTCGCTTATTAGCATCGATAAGCGAGTAACGGAATAATGCGAATAACATTAGATATCACTTAACTTTTCACATATTTCTCACTTTGAGATAATGATTATCTGTATAACGCGTTCGTGTTACACCCCCCAATGTTTTGCTATTAATTTTCTCCCTTTTCTCTTATTCCCGTTACCTGCACTCAACGAATGCCGCCTCTAATCGCAGGAGAGAATCACGAGGCGTAGTATGGTGTCTTTCCATTTTAGCTGACGCCTTTCGGAGGAGCGACGAGACACGAAAAATTTACATAGGATCTGCATGATATGATACTTTCTCCCGCGGGTTATCTGTACGAAACATCTTCACGTTACATCGTGCGTACGCCTCTTACGAACGCCTCTTGGCAGAGGCATGTCTCAATGGGGCCATCTTTTTTAATCATACGCTGTATCCTCTCTCACTGTGGTACCCTGACCCACAACTTGACACATTTACGTTTGTAAGCCGGTACTCTCGATTTTCGTAGATGAAATACAGATAATCTACTTATTTGATTCGATCTTATTAAGAAAAAAAAAAGAAAAGAGAAACATTATTGACATTTACTTTCGATTTTCAAGATACCGATGCAGGAAGCATCGAACTCTCGGGAAGAAAATTTTTAATTAATACAAAGGTTAATTGATGTACTGAAAGAGGCATACGCGATTGCCTATTTTTAATCACACGTTCGTATCTATTCCTACTTTTTTTAAATTGTGTGTGCAAAGGTCCCTTCGACTATCGAAATGTCTGATTTATTTTAGTCCATGTTCGGAGATTACGTATTTCAGGTGTCGATCACTTTCGATTTCCAAGATACCGATGTAGGAAGTCTATCGAACCCTATCTTCTATCGGGAAGAAAGTTTTAATTAATACAAGGATTAATTGATGTACTGAAAGAGGCGCACGCGGTTGTCTATTTTTATAAAGGGGACCTTCTTAAAGACACCTCGTGGGAGGCTGCACCGAGTCTCATCGTAGTAGGAAACAATCATTTTATTATGTCGTTACCTATATGCGTACCTTCTCTCCCGGCTAATTGTTAGCAACGCAACTCAGTTAGTTTAACTCAACGTTTCTCGATCTTTTTTCTGTCACTCCCGTGTTTTATTTTTTTTTTTGTAAACGTTGAACTTTGTAAAGGAAAGGCGCGTGTGAGTGGCACAAAAATTTATGCGTCCAAAATATTTTATTTTTTATTATTTCTATTTTTTATTTATCCCTTACAAAGTGATCTTCTACGTTGAAAATTATTGGTCTATTCACGTAACCATCATGTCATTGTAGGGTTTTTTTTCTTCCTTTTTATTCACACGCGAACGAATGTTCCCCGAGCCCGGACGATCCGGAAGTGACAAGATTGCGCAACAACAAGAACCGGGAGGAGATACGATCGGATTTACTAGCGTAAACGTGTTACGATTGTTTATTTGGTTATTACTGCATGGTATTACATAGTGCATTTTTCCTTACGACGGTGATGCAATTGCAAACACTTGTACTGTTGTACCGTTACATTCATGCTGTATCTTACTTGTTGTCCTTCAAAGTTGATCTTTTTGAGCCGTAAATACATATTTATGGCATATTATACAATAACACGTAATCTTCGATGTTATATACAATTGCGATTCTGTTTAGTTAATAAAGTAACATTGTTTAAAATTCGTGCGGTGAAGATATATAGCTTGAGAGCTATCATCTTCTTATTGGAATAAAATTACTGTCGTACGCGCCATACAGACGTCACGATTACAAGCTATAACAACAAGTCACGTCTTCATCGCGCGATCTATTATCTCATTCGTATCATTTTCTCGGCGAAAATTTGCATGTATAGCGTATTAAAGTTCACTTCGCGCGCGTAATAAAAATTTTAATTCCCCCGCAATCGCTCTCGGGGCCATGAATTACTCCCATAATTATTATTCTTACGCGGTGTTGGCGATAAAGTGCGCACCGTTATCGAGCCCGAGTGTAATTGAAACGTGTAATTACGAACGGACATCGCGCGTCGTAAAATCGAATATAAATATCGGTTCTATTAACAGAGATGACAATTTCGTTCTCGGCTCTACACCGCTTTATCTATTTTAAATAGTGACAATGACTATAATATTTCACAGTATCGTATGGCCCTCGAGATTAAATTATTAACGCAAGCAATCAAACGAGATCCGCATTCAAGCATGATGATTTACTTAATCGGGCATAAATAAAGCCTCGAGGATCTCCGACAGCTTTCGCATAAGTATTGCGGCGTAAAGCGATTAGAAAGGGCAAAAAAAACTCGCCTGCCTTCGCGATTTCGTTTCATTCACATCGTCCGGATGATCGCTACGGTCCTTGAGTGCATAACCTTTGGATGAAGTCACTAAGCATCTCGTTCCCCATCCTGGTAGACCGACCATTTAAATGCCATGCGAGTAATCGCATCGCCTTGCGATACGCTCATTGATACACGATACTATCATCTCGCGAGAAGCAAATGTCTATATATTATTAGAACACGTACAATTAAATGCGCGATTAACGCTCGCGATTTTTGTTGCAGAGAGAGAGAGAGAGAGAGAGAGAGAGAGAAAAATTGAGTATTGAGAAATCGCGAACGTGAGAGAAGGGTAAATGAGAGTTTGCAAAAAGTTAAAAAAACAGGTACAAATGTATTTTTACACTATTGTTATTTTCTATTATTTACATAGCGCCGAGAATACGCGCCGTCATATTAAAAGTAACGTATCGCGAGTTCTACTTCGGAACGAATGCATGATCCGGTATCTCCGAACTTTTCAAATCCTTCATAAAGTTAGATATCGCCTTCCGCATGTCCCACTGGGCCTGCTTCAGATAAGTCTCGGACCATTCCTGATTCATCTTGGTGATCTGCCGTATTCTGGTGACTAGCACCGATTTCTCGCTCGGACTGAAGCAAACCGGCTCCATTTCGTCGAAAGAATGCTTGACCAGTATTTTGTCGGGTGTTATCTTGTTAGGCGCCGCCCATATGTGATACTGATCGTTCAGAATGTGGTACTCGTTGTCGAGGGAGGCCGTCAGGACGAACGTTCGAGAGAACGACAGTACGTTTATACCGGAGCTTAGCTTCTTGCACAATCCCGCGACGCTGAACGCCACGCACTTGCCGTCGTCGTACAGCATGTCGTACGTGAAGGAACTCTTGTCGTGATAGGTCCGGGGCAATTTGCTGAAAGCCACGAAAATGTCCTCCTGACCGTAGTAGAGACACGTGTTCTTCTTCGCGCCTTTCTTCAACAGATTTCTGTTCGACGTGTACTGATTGAGATTGGTCTTTTGCGCGATATTGTTAGGTATGGCGCAGCTCATCGAGTAGAACGCGTCTTTGTGATAGAGTCCCCGTAAAACCGTCCTGTCGAGTTGATCGAACAGGGCAAAGAAGTGAGTGACGAAACTCTCCGCGAAAGCCTGCGCCTTGTCGTTCGGAAAGTAGTCCCGATAAATCAACGGCAAATTCTCCACGATGTACACCCCGTCCAGCTCTTGCAGGTTCCGGCAATACGTCTTCGCGGAATCCACGTACTGCTTCGCGGTCGAGTAATTTTCGCAGAGCGGATTTCCATCGAGCCAAAGCCTGGTGATGTTCATATTTTTCAGCGGGGCCAACGTGTTCATGTTCAACAGGTTGTTGTGCCTGAGATCCAGATACCTGATAGACGTTAAATCCGCATTCTCCATCGCCGATATGTTCAGCAGTTCGTTGTGCTGTAAATTCAGATGCTCGACGGTGGCTATCGCGGTCTTGGCCAGGCTCAAAACGTGATTGAATATTTTGAGCTGCGACAACGGGCAGTAGACGCTCTTCTCTACATTCGGATCTGTGTGGAAGTTCTCCAGGTTCAACGTCTTCTTGTTCGGATCGTACCTCTTGGTCAGCGCGGTCAGCAGAATGGGCTGCAAGTGGACCCTCAGATCATTGATTGTAGAGAATCCCAGGGTTACCACGAGAATGATAGCGTCGCCCTTGGCGTTTCTGATGATCATGTTCGCCTTGCACAGCATCTCTATCGCGGGACCGCAATTCCTCGCTACGAAATACGCGTCCTCCCCGCAAACCTGATACTTCACCGGTATCAAATCGTTTGGCTCCACCGCCCTCAGGATACCCTTCAGGACCGTGTCCTTGTCGTACAGGCCGCCCTTAAGTACCTTGATTTTGTGCCACAGATCCTGACTATTCATCATTCCTCGCTCATGAGGCAATTTTGCACCCATGGCAATTCTTATAGCGATTGCGGTGTCCAGCAGAACAGGAGCCACCTTTGGGATTGTTAGTTTTAAGTTTTCTTTCAGCTTCAGCATGGCTTCGTGATGTACCTGCTTCAAGAGAACACACATTTATTAAATTTATTCTTAATGATCTTTTCAGAGAAACATGCGAGTTAACCTCGAAGATATGTAAACACCGAAGAAGCTGTCATAACAGAGAGGAAGTAGCTAATTAAAAAAATAGTAAAAAAAAATTAAATAACTCAGCCTTGAAGAAGATTCAAGTTATTTTTTTGTTCATTAATTTTTTGACTTTTTTTATCAACTACTTTCTCTGTTTTGACAGCTCCTTCAGTGTTTACATCTTCGAGGTTAACTCGCATGTTTTTCCCTGAGAAGATTATTAACAATAAATAAGTGTGTATTGTTTCACGTATACAAGTTTTCTCTTAAATTGAAAAATATTTAAATGTTATAAGATGATAAACATACATTTATATTAATAGAGAAAGTGTAATAGACGTCGAAAACACACACTTGACTCTCATCTCTTTCGCCGGTATCACTATTTTTTCCTTAGAATAACACGTGGACAAAATGTTTTCATCGATTTACAGTAGATGTCACGATTTTCTCGATACCGACATGTTAAGTGCATATCTGCCCTCGGTTGATTATTTACCGGTATAATACTCGTCATTATTTAACGCTCGCGTTACCGACTTAATATTGTAGGAGTTGTGCATGATTCGCGGCAGATGTCGCATCAATGATATTTTTTGTTAATAATTTAAAGAATCTCGTAGGGGTGGTTGATCCGCGCAATCAGTTCGGCTTATAAAATTAACGAACCCGAGTTCAGTACAGCGTTGACACAACACATACATTATGTTATGTATGTATACTTGTATGTATGTATACATACATCCATATAACTTCAGTCTCACAATGCAACAAACATTTAAATCAATTGATAAAAAACCTAATCTAATAATAAGAAAAATAGAAATTAAAATAAAAGTAATAAAGCCCGTGATATACGTGTGATGTAAATGGATGCAGATAAAAGCTGAAGCTGTTTAAAAAAAAAAAGAAATAATTCGTAGAAATTATATTATCTGTTTCCAAAACTGAGTTTTCTATCAATTCAATTGCATTTATTTCAGTTAATAATTTTAATGAATATATATATATATATATATATATATATATATCTTAGGATAAATTATGCGATAATCTCAACTTGTTAATTTGTTACATTAATGTTGTATTAATATACAAATCATATTTATAGACATCTATTAATTAAATTGCAACAATTTTTACTTTTCACATAGGAATTTCAATACCAATATCCAGATTTTTTAAATCTAAATAATTCAGATTTTTTACAATTTTTTTTTAACGCATCTTGTGTTAGAATTAATATTTCGCGATGAATTTCAATATATCACTTGCATAAAATCTATTGTGATTTAATTTTTGAGCAAACACATACAACATTAGTATAATCTATTGAATAAAAATATTTTGTTTGTTTTATAATGGATATATTCTGTACATATATATTAGATAAATATTTAATTCGCTTATTTTACGTCTAAAGTTATATAAATTCGTACACTTGTATATAGAAAATATGTTTCAAGAAGTAAGGAGACTCTCCCGCAAGAGCGCAAAAGCCGCGAGATAATAACCGCTTAACGGCGGCCGATCTTTGATCTCGCAGCAAAAGTTCGTGCGATTCATAAACTCGGCGCGTTCTTTAGCGCACTTCCTCGTTCTCTCGTTAATTACAACCAGCTTATCGCGCGCCCCTTGCAGAATCGGCCGTGTGTAATATTACACCGCTTCTTTCAACGAAACAGCATCCAGCGGGCTGCGCGCGTTTTTGGAAGCTGTTGCTACACATTGACGTAACACATGTTGAATCAATAACACGCCCATAATTATTTCGCGCGGTATTATCTGATTAATTATTTTGCAAAATCGCTAAAAATCCCGGCATCCGTTAATAAATCAATGTGATCGAACTGTTAAAAATTAAATGCGATTTTCGCGATTAAACTCGGCCCCGGTTTAATTAGGCCCTCATCTCCTCCCCGGTGTTGTTAATAAATCCTCGAACGATTTAGCCGCACGCGTTGCGAGGGATTGAGTTACTTCTTACTCGCCAGAAAAAAAGTTCGTATACCAGGCGGTTTGCATCTTCTTCAGAGACCGCGGCGCCTCATAATTCACTTAGGCTCAGCCTCGCCTGTCTGCACGTTGGTCGAGACAGCGGCAATTACGCCCTGTGCGGCAAAAAGTGCGCCGCGCACTCGAGCGTTTTTAACAAACGCCAACGTGGTGTAGCGCGCGCTCTGAATGATCACCGTCGCATTGCAATTTCGCGATCGGAGAGGTTCACTCCGCGGAGTTTCCCGGGAAACGCAAGAGCTTTTCGGTATTTGATAGACAGAGGTGTACGATCGTGACTCGAGCTTAACGAGCTCAGGGACGAAGCGCGAACTCAAAAGGGCCGGTGCACACATTCAAATTGCTCGCGTTCCACATTCGCTCTCGCGACGACAGTTCCGCGTGTTTCTCCCCATTGTTTCTCCACCGGAAATTAATCTACGGCGATGAGAAAAAGCGATCGAGTATACACGCGCGGTACACGATCGATCGCTTAACTCGGACGAAAGGAATTCGCGCGGGTACGAGCCTTGTACTCGCGCGGTCCTCCTCGCTGCGCGAGCGCGTTCGCGAACGCGATCGTGTCCGCCTCGTTTTCATCCTCCCTCTCTTGGCCCCTCCCCCCCCTCTTCCCGTAATTCATTTAGACGGTAGCCAGACAAGAGGACAGGCTCAATTACACCCGCGGCAAAAAGCCGCGCGCGGGCCGACAGCCCGCTTCCTCGTACGACGTGCGTGGTCCGCGGCGCGCCCGGTCGGCGAGGAGAGGCGAGCCGAAACGAGACGAGACGGGACGGGACGGGACGGGATGAAGCGCAAGTGTTATGCCGAGGACAACGGCGCGGATTTGTCGTCCGTGTCGTCGAGAACAGGCGGCTATACGGAGGAGCCCGTCGGCTCGTGTCCTCCGTCAGTCGAGCGCGGCACCGCCGATCATTAGAGGGATCTCTCCCCCCTCCCTCCCCTCCCCTTCCCTTCCCTTTGTCGTCTACAATGTGCAAGCAACGCGAGCGATGCCGTTTAACGACGACATCCGATGCACGCTCGGATCGCGACGCGCGGATATCCGGACGACGCGGCCGGAATGCCCACCGACATTAATCGTCTTTGCGGCGTCGGCGAAAAAGCGTCGGTCGGAATCGAGTGTCGCGAACGTATTAGGTATCGCAAATGCAAACAAGAACGCCTCGATCGGAGCGGAGACTTCGGTAACGAGTCCACCGAAGACCCTTTTGGGGCCGTCGAAAATTTTTTCGGAGCGCATAGAGCTTGCAACACATCATTATTGGCATTGCGAACGTATACGTCACGCGTGACATCCTCTTAGAAGATATTTGGTCCAAGTTGAAAGCAAGAGAAGCAGATTCTTAAGGGAGATTCAATTATCGGAGATGATTATTGGAGATTGTGAGACACGCAAACGTGGGATTTTAAAAAAGATGATGATTCGAAAAACCGCGTTTGGTAAAACGTAATATACTTACTTATTAAAAATTTCCGGAGCACACGATCGCGGTCGCGTATTCCTCAAGGTGGCTATCGAAGCGCGATCTGCTCGCCGCGCAGCGAGTTCGCGGGAATTGCGCTTCTTATTGCGCGGCTTCGCACAAAGAGGATGCAGTTGGCGGTTCCTGGAGGAGGTTTCTCGAGGTGGTTAATCGGCCGGTTAAGCGCGGGGGCGGGTAGGCTCGCCCGAAGACAATGGGCCTCGTGTTGATGGCAATATTTTAATGAAGTTAGCGAGTTCCCGGTAGCCTGCACCATCCCTCGCTTCACTCGCCGGTTCCAGGAGCTTAAACGCTCCGGAGGTGGCGGGACTCTTGCGCGCGCGCACGCACGAAAGAGAGGGAGGGAGAGAGAGAGAGAGAGAGATTGAGAGAGGGTGCGAGAGAGCAACGGCGAGTCGACAGGCGCCACTCGGCCACTGATTTCCACTTACCGATATCGTTCTACAAAGCTGCCTTCATCTGCCAGCCTACGCGGCCGTTCTTTCCGTTAACCCGATGTCCCGGCTCTTGCGGACTTAGACTCGCGGAAAATGAGTTCAGTGTTATCAGGCATTTGCGAACAAGTCGAATGTTGTAAAATCCAACCTCGATGAATAGTATAGCTCACGGTACGGCACTCGAGTATTGATTTCGCGATTTCACATTAGTCGTATCTGTATAAAATTATAATGAGAAGCAGCACGCGTGAATAAAAGTATTTCTTGCAGTAATATAATATATATGATATCGAACGGCCTTTTGTCCGTTTTTCATTCGATCCATCTTTTCGAAAACGTGTCACAGATCCGCTTGGAATTTATTCGTAATCTATGTTTGAATATTCACGATAAAAAAAGAGGGGCGGAGGATGATTACCGTTAGGCGTGCATCAATCGCAAAAGTAGGATGAAATCACGTGTGTCAACAAATCGTTTTGCATGCATCAGCGGATGTACTAAAAGGGGCAGGATTAATTTGATCGATGCTTTGCATTGAAATAGAAAACACAGACTGGAAGTGATGCATATAAGAGAATGCGATTATCATGCTGCAAAAATGACAAAAGTTTTTTAACTTTTAATACAAGATAAATGCCTCCGTGCATTATAGTAATTTACACATATTATATAAAAACACACACACACACACACAAAATCCTGAATAAATATCTGAATAAAGGAATGAGGGAGGAATATACCAATTGTAAGTAGTTTGAAAGATTCATTTTAGATGCAATTCTTGTTTAGTGGAAAATTATACGAATGCAATTTAAGTCTTTTTTAATTTGACAATTTTACAAAATCGTGCATACTTGTAGCGATCGAGAAATTTCAGGGTAGAAAAGGAGACTCAATGTTTCTCGTTTTAGGATAAATCGATATAGATTCGACGGATAAAATTTTTGTCGAGGTGACCATTTGTCGCACGAGCATTATTGAGATTTTCCAGTTACTTTGTAGTCGGGTCTCGGGCTAATTAATTTGCCTCCAATTAATTACCGACAATTGCTCTCTCTCGTTCTAATTACGCGCGCTCGATTAGAATCTGCGAAAGTTACGGCCGAACGGAGCAATCTTAAGGTTCCCCCCCCCCTCCCGGCACTCGCATGCGAGTTCTCTCCGCGAACAGTATTACTCGCGATAAGACTTGACCACAAAGCGCTCTCGCCGTGTGCATCGGCGGGGCTCTCGCAACAACCCCCGTCGATCGCTGTCTCTCTCTTTCTCTCTCTTCTCATCTCGCATACGCTCGAAATATAATTCGTATTCGTCCCGATCTTTCTTTTACACTCGCGCGCGAGACGACGCAATAAATCTCGCGCGCTTACAAGCCCGAGCCCTTATTTTCGACGTCGTGTTTCTAGCGGGAGGAGCCCGAATAAATTATGCAAAGGAACTCGATACACTTATTGTTAGTTCGCTATTTCTCAGACATCGGTCTTCCGTCGAGAGAGATCACG